GGCACTGTCTTGCCGTAGAGACCCATGACGATGCGGCCAGCGGGCTCGCCGTCGATGCTCACGTCGAAGTAGACCTGATTGGTGATCTTGGGGCCTTTGCCGGCCTGAACTACCAGCACCAACGCCGTCAGGCATATCGCCAGAAGCGAGAACGTCCACTTGGCCATCTTTACTGCTGCGGCAGATAAATCACGGCAACGATGCGAATGGGGGAGCAAAGTGTCCGTCCGGGAGATCCAACACGTGTAGTTTTTACGTAAAAACAATCGTAATTACGATAAGGTGAAGTCATCGATTGGTACATGGATGGTACATGGCTACACGAAGTTCAAGTTGCCTTCGTGAAATTACCTTTGGATAGCCTTCAGGCCCTGAATCAGGGGCGCTCTCCTTGGGGGAGCCGATTTCGACGGAGCGGCACAATGTGCAAGAGCTGCTGGTACGTGTAACTTACCAATTGATGATGAAGGCTCAATTAACCGCTATTTTAAGCGAACTTGGGCAGTTTGTCCCGTTTGGATGGCAGTAGCTGCGTCTGTTCAAACATTAGTCCAAGCAGCAAAACTGCGAAGCTCAACTGCACGTGATCTGTAGCCGTCATGGATGATAAGATCCAGGATCCTGTGGTGCGTGCGTTGGCAGAGTACATCAAGACGCCACAGTTCCAGCGCCAGTTCGAACAGTTTTTTCTGGATCATGCGCTTACCTTCACGGACGCCCTGGAACACCAACTCGCGTATATGACTATCTACATTGAGTTCCAGCACATGTTCAACGAGCACATGAAGAGTGCGTAGAGAATGTCGTAGTACAGTTACTAGTGTATGTGTACTAATGCGCTTGTACTATGGTAGTCTTTCTGACGCAGCAGGGAGTGACTGAGGACGAGTTTGCTGAGCACTGCCAAAAGGCTATCAAAGTTGACCCAAAGGCCGAACAATACCTTGAAATCGTGATCGCGTCCATGGACTATGACGCGTTCTACGGTCTGATGAAGTCGATGCGAGCACGTGCCTCTGTCGAAAACCGTCGCGCTGATGCGAAAGACTGTGATACTGCTTCGAGGACTTCTGGAAAACGTAAGAGCTCGGAGGGTAAGCCCAGCAAGGATGAAGAGGGTCCAGAAGATATAGAAGACGATGGAGGAGCAAAAGGGGCGAAAGGTACGAACAACGATGAGAAAGACGCAGTAGGAATGGACAGCAAAGACAGCAAGTAGGAAGAACGGCACTACTGCCTGATTGTTATGCCAATTCCTGGCTAGTTGGGAATAAAAAAGATGAAGAACCATTGGCTTGGCGTCTTCTCAAACGGAGTATCTGATAATGACAGCGATGATAGCGAGCACCGCAGCGAAACCAAGCGACTTAAGCAGGCGCATGTGTAGTCGAGTGAACGGATACATCGCGATGCGAAGGATGAATTGCTTCGATGGAGTGTACGGCGCATAGCGCTGGGGCAGATCCAGCATCCCGTTCTTGTAGATCACCGTCTTGAAGTGCGAGAATGCCTCAAACCCGTAATGACCGTGGTAAGCACCCATGCCAGAGTTGCCGACGCCACCGAAAGGAACGTGTGCATTCGAGAGCTGCATGAGCATGTCGTTCACCATCATGCTGCCTGCTGATGTCTCGTTCACGACACGTTCTTTGTTCTTGCCATTGGAACTGAAGTGATACAGTGCAAGAGGTTTCTCCCGTGCAATAACAAACTTGATAGGCTCGTCCAAATCGCCTGAGGTGTAGTAGTAGATTGGCAGCAATGGGCCAAAGATCTCTTCGCCCATCGAAGCACTGGACACGAATAAGTCGAAATCCGCGCGGAAATTGAGCAGCGTTGGTGAGATAAAGCGCTGCTTGGCGTCAGCATCGCCACCGTACGCCACGTGCTTGCGATCTCTGTCCAAAATGCGCATCAAGCGGTCGTACATACGCTGGTTAATCACACGGCCGTAGCTGTCCGACTCCTTCACATTGACGCCTCCATACTGCGCATCTAGTTCTCCTTCCAGCAGCTTCACAAACTGGTCACCCACTTTTGCATCCACCAGCAAATAGTCCGGGCGAACGCACGTCTGTCCTCCGTTGACGAACGCTCCCCAGGCAATACGTTTCGCAGCCAGTTTCAAGTCCGCCGTGCTGTCAATAATACAAGGAGACTTGCCTCCCAGCTCCAAGACCGTAGGTGTCAGATACTGCGCCGCAGCTTGAGCCACAATCTTACCCAGAAAGTTGCCACCTGTGGCGAAGATGAGATCGTAGCGCTCTTGTAGCATCTTCTTGGTCTCCTCGACACCTCCGTACACCACACGCACGTAGCGCTTATCCATGTATTTGTCGAACAACTGGATCAGCACATTGTTCAAGAAGCGCGTGGTGTCGTCTCCAGGTAGTCGCACGATGACGCAGTTGCCAGCTCCCAGAGCGGCTACCAGCGGCATCAGCAGCAGGTTTATTGGGTAGTTCCACGTGCCAATGACGCAGACGACGCCTAGAGGCTCAGGTCTAATGTAGGACAAGCCCGGTAGGTTGACAATGTTAGTAGGCTTGATCTTGGGCTTGGACCAGTCGTCAACATAGTCGATAAAGTCCTGGATCTCCGCTTTGAGCAGCGCAACCTCCGTGGCGAAGAGCTCCAGTGGATGTTTGTGTAGGTCCTTCCACACAGCCTCATTGATGGCCGCCTCGTTCTCGTTCACAAGTCGCTGAAGAGCTCGCAGTTGCGACTTGCGTGTCTTAAGGTCCTTGGTAGCGCCCGTGGCGAAGCTGGCACGCAGGGCGGCCACATCGGCATGTGTGTCCTGTTTGGACACGTCGGGAAGCGATGGAATATCGGTGGTGGAGCCGTACATGTCGACGCTGGGGTTCACGTCCTGAACCGCGATGTAGCTGGCGGGGTTCTGTGGGGTTTCTGGCGGATCCGAGACTGGCATAGTGGAGCAAAGATAATGTTGGGTTCACAGTCAAGGTAAAATTGCGACTGAAGTTCACGGTTCGGTTTGCATTGGAGTGTCGTGATCCAACCTATATATTCTGTTGAGCGACGAGCGAGAAAAAAAAAGTGTAGATAGAGTTTAATTGGTTATTAATCAAATGATTCGTTTTTATGCTGAACAACTTCAAGATGAGTCAACATTTGCTCACACTCGATCCAGCAAGGAATGGTATGTTTGCGGCGTGATCGAGCTGGCATAAGCGTACGTGCTTGAAGCAATGTATTAGGATACCATGGTCTGACGTCGACTTATGACTTTCATTATTAATGGCGGCGATGTTAAAGAATGTGCACTAGATATAGAGAGATTGCAGGCCAGTGGCAAGGAGGAGTGGCAAGTTTACCACTGCTGTTTGTGTCAACGTGCACAGTGATCTGTACAGCAAAAATTAGAATCAAGCAAAGAAAGCGTGTATCTGCGGAGAGCGGCTGGATTCGCGCGAATTGGCCTAGACACCCTCTAGAACATTTTCAAGAAGGCCTTTCGGTAAACACATGTTGTTTATCTACGGTAGATACCAACG